GAATGAACTCTCCAATAGCCTGACATGACATTTAAATGCATTATGTGTTATTTAGTGCAACTTATTGTCTTTGGAAAGCATTTGTGGTGTGCTTTCAATAATCACAGACAATAACTTAGATTTCTCCTCAGTTAAAAAAAGAAGGAAGACAAAAGATACATTTACAGTTATAAAAGTCTTACATTTTTTTCTAGTGATAAAGTATGTTTACAAGCTGTTTAAGTCATAAAATTTGATTTAATAAAAAAATTTAAACTAAATTATTTGATTAAGACTAAATCCAGAAAATGATCCCATGATGGGAACCCCTAAAAGGTACCACATAGACAACACTTTATGGTTCTAAAGAAACCTTTCTTCTAAGAGATTACACTGTTTCAAACTATGTCTCCTAGCTAAAGATATGAATCATTTCATTTCCAGCTACAAATGATTAATAGCTACACGTTCTTAGCATGCTTTGTGTAGACTGAATAAACTGTGAAACCAACTGATTCTCCGGTAAATGATCCCAAAAGTGATGTGTAAAAAATGGTGTAAGCAAAACAGACTCACTGGATCTAACATGAAGCAGTTCACTCCCTGACCAGTGGAGAGGACAATCATGGTGGCACTGCCATATAGTGCATATCCAGCAGCCACTATGTTTCTACCAGACTGCAGGGCATCTTTCTCAGACGGCTCGCTGTCTGTGCACTGTGAACAGAGCAGTCATTAAAGTGTGTTCAGATATAGGGGGGAACATGGACTGTCATGGGCTGCTGGCATACTTGCAAATCTATTAAATATATTCAGTCATACCTTTTTGTAGATGGCAAAGATGGTTCCAATCGAAGCAAGGCAGTCAATGTTGGATGAACCATCAAGAGGGTCAAAGCAAACCACGTATTTTCCCTTGAACACATGCAAGAAGCTTTGGTTAGATACATATTACTGAAGTAGTGGTGCGTCTTGACTTACATTACAGCCTTTTAATGATGTAGCACTATCATGAAATCCTCACACACACTTGACTGGCTTATGTCTAATTTTAACACGTCTTTGGACTAATCTAGTTCCATGAGTTACAGTTATTCATGATTACTGGATTATTTTTTTTTAACAAATCATTTTGTAGAAATTGAACTTCTCTAGAGCAGAACTATTTAAATCCATAATTAGATTTCCATGATTTTTAAGGTTTTATTAATCTGTAGTAACCAGGACTGGAAAATGCCTTTTTAAAATTCACTGAATTTCCAGGTTATGACTATGGAAACTCAATTGATAATACGTCTTTGCACATGTATCTCAGTTTCATATTCTTGAATGTCATATTAGATTCAGGATGGGTTTCTGGTCAATTAATACAGGTTATGAGCTATAAGCTTGCATCTCTGAAATCAGTCATGTGACTAGGTCTCCATGTTCTCCCCAGGAAAGGGAAATTTATCTGGAAACTCACACTTTTCCATTGTTGGAATAGACTGCGAAGAGTTATGAACTCATTGGCTATGTTTTGGCAAACACTTTAAACAAAATATATCTTTATTAAATGGTTTATGATTAAACACTTAAAGTAGTACCTTACCCGTCTATCTGGCTCCACAATGATTGCAGTGCCATGTTCCTCAGTGACCAGTACACATGAGGTGAATGAGGATTTGATCATGTTTATGACGAGGTCATTGGAAAGGATGTCCAGCTTCTTAACCTGATCACCGGTCACATTGGTACTTCCAGCAATGCCATACCTGCCAGAAATATTTCAAAGTCATGAGTTGAATCATATCAGAGGGACTGAAATGAGTTATTGTTTCTCAATGCTTTATAAGTGTTGTATAAAAGCAACATCACACTACTTCCAGTACAATGGCACTGTTTGCTCATGTGATACTGCATACATGTAATGGATACTGAATAATGAATAATTTGTGGCTCAATTTATTTAATTTTTTTTTTTTAACAAACTTCAGGTTTTTCAGTTCTGCTGACATTTCCTAACACTGAAGCATCTCTATGCTATCAGTTTCAAAACTTAATCACATGTGGATGACATGAATCACATGATATTGCTGTCTGAACACATTTTTCATAAACATGCATACAACTAAAAGAAAATGTTCAGGTCATATTTCACTCAAAAATAAACAAATAAATAAGAAATTATATATTTTTTATATAAAAAGTGCATTGAGAATGAAAAAAACTAAACAAAACAAAAGAACAACAAATGCTATGATGTATAATTCAGTTTTATTAATCTATTGCATTCCAATAATTTATTTATTTATAACAGGACAATGTGCAGTTACATTGAAAAGATGGCTGCACCAGATCTGTAGTCCTACACAAATACAATCACATGACAAGATAAAATTACATTACAAAAACAATTAACATATAAAAATCATGTAACAGTGATGGTTATTTTAATACAATATAAAAGACAATTTACTAGGAAAGCACAGTATATACGGCATTAAAAACTGCACAAAAAAATTTTTAAATGTCACAATGCAAAAATATAAATTATCAAAAGTATAAGCTTTGGTAACATGAATTTACAGTGTCCTTGTTACAGCTTACACACACTTAATGAAGTTAGAACATTATATTATGCATTACTGCAAGCAGATAACCATAAACCAACTAACCATAACCACACATTGCTAATTACTAAGTACTTAATCGTATTAATCTTGTCTTTCAAATCTGATTGGTTGATTGAAATGCTTGTACTTGGTGGGAAAACACATTTTACCTTGTATAGTAAACAAGAGATGGACTGTTTTTAAACTAAAACAAAGTAGGCTATGCAACCCAAACACTTTGGAGTCCCAATCGATTTAGTCAAAGGTGTGCATACTCACAGGTGCGCGATGCCAGCTTTCCTGACAGCGCTCGAGATGGCTTTTACAGCCGTGCACATCGCGTTCAGAAGAGTTGTCAGCTCGCCTGTGCCTTTGGCTTTCCTGCCCTCTTCAAGCAGAAATCTCGTCAAAGTCACAACATTAGTGTCGAATGAGCTACGGTCTGACATGGCTGCAGTCTGCAGAGATAAAGATCTTCTTGCTGATGTTAAAATGAAAAAGATCTCGCTGTTGTAGCCTATTAATACTATGGATAATTCCTACAATCGCGGAAACAAAAATATGAACGCGGAAATGGTGCTGGAGAGGGGTGTAAGGAGAGCTAAACTAAACCAATGAGAAGTGCACAGCCAGAGATTTAGAGGTGTGACAGTAACTGACTGACTGCGTGGAAGTTTCAAAACAATGTTGCATTGTGGAAACAGGGGTGTGAATGAAAGCCCCCTCATGCCTGATCTCTGCTGTGTCATCATGATCATGGTTTGAGTCTGACCCTAGACTGTCACTGTAAAAGGTCTGACCATAGACAGATGTAGCCTACGAGTGGCAGCAGTTTTTGGGGGAATGTTCTTCTTTTAACTTATTTAATCCCACCTGTAAATGTTCTAACCAATATTTCCTTTTGAGTTTGAATGGTCTTCAAATGAGCTGCTGAGAGTTGTCAACTATAAGTCTTCAGTCTGCCATGTTGTTGTCGCAGGCTGGTTTATTATTGACTGGATTTGGAGAGCTTTTTCATTTTACCTATTCATTTTACTGAAACATCAGATTTTCTTTCTTTTTATACAGACAGTATGAAAAGAATTATAATCATATTTTCAGTCTGTACTAAATGGCTATCTTTGCAAAAATATTTATGCTGTGAATATTCAGCATTTTACTTAAAATGAGAAAGATTCAATGATATGGCAGTGTTGTAAGAAATTTAAGGCTAGCCATTTCACGAAACCTGATTCCACCAAATGCCACATAGTCTTTGTTGATCCTGGATCAACATTCTGATCAACCAATCAGATTTGAGGGACAAGTTTACAGTTTAAAAAAAAAAAAAGATAAGAAGGTTTACAAGCAGGATTAGGTGCTTTGATTTCAGAGATAACTTGTGGGTATAGGTTTAGGGATAGGGTGTGATTATATTTAAATTATGAATTTTTACATTTTGTGTGGATTCTGACGCAGTAGGCTACTACCGGTAAGTAACCACTAGAGGTCAGCCCTAAATAAGTGTTTCTTATTTCACTTTCCCCACTGAGAAGCATGAGGCCATTTCAGCAAAATGTTCTCATAAACTTTGACTAATAACAAACAGACATTAAAACATACTGAATGTATAGGGTCAATAAAGAGAATTACCTTAAGAAACACTCCTGTTGTTGCCTAGACCCTATACTCTCTGAAGCTGTATATCCCATCTCAACCCTCAATGATCAGCCACACCAAAACAAGCATACTAAAATAATGATCATGGATCATCCATGTAATGACGCAAGTAGCTATTATTATTATTATTATTAATTATTATTATTAAGAATAATGCATACGTAAATTTTTGAATGGGGTTACTTTTATAAATTAATTAATATCTAATATTTCATATTGATACATAATTCACTTCTAGGTCTTCACAAAATGCCTGAGAAACATGATTCCAGGTGTCCTCTAGTGGACGTGTATGAAACCAGTTGTGTTGTTTTGTAACAGAAAGTCATATTTTGATTAGAAACCCATAATATTTTCCTGATATTGTTTTGCTTGACAATTAATTCGAAAACTAGTTAGATTTAAGTGCGAATTACAGTGCTAAATTTGTCTAAATTTGTACAGAGCAAAATCACTAATTTAATTTCAGTCATTTTTAAAGACCAAGGAGAAGTTGTTGTCATGTGAAACTTTCAAGCATTTGGATAGGCCTATCTGTGAAAAACCCCGAATGAGACTTCAAACTGTGACATGTATGTTATCAGAGAAATTCACAAAACTGTAATGTCCACTACAGTGTACAAAAGTGTATTCCTGGGTCCCAGTAGGATAGTGAGCAGTAAGGGGAGCACCTGCCTTTGTGTACTCAGTTATTTGCACGTCACGCTCTCACGTCAGGGAACATGTATTGTAGGGAACAAGCACCGAGCACGTTCTTGTGCGCATGAGCGAGGAGGACAGGAGGACACTTCACCGGGACTTTTACAAAGGCAGCGCATGGACGGGAGAGGGACGTATAAACAAACTTTTTAAAATAAAGGTAGGCTAATTTATTGTTCCTTAAAAAAAAAAAAAACGCTAACTACTGCATAGGCGACTTATAAACTAGACTTTATTGCTCACTTCAGGGCGCGTGCGAAACCTGATCCAGCAGCTACAAGGTCTGCAAACACTTGTATTTTTCTGTGGGATATGTTAAGCTGATAAATTTTGTCTCAAGTTAAAATTATGAGTATATTTATAAACATAAATGTATCGTGACAGTGGTATAAAAACACTGAATGTATGCTGTAGGAACGTTTGAGAATAAATGCTCTAACGTTAGTAGGTGCATGTCGCACTCTACTTGTCAAGATAAGAGATTACAATATAATTTTAATGGTTAACAGGGTCCGAACTTTTGAGGGGAAAATAATTTTCTTCAGATGTTGTGTGTTGAGACTTCTCGGTGAACCCATTATTTGTTTTTCGATAAATGAATGTTATGTAAATAGAGTTGTTGCAGTTGTCAGGAAAGCATGCGTTCTTGATTTTCCCGCTACACCATGCGTTTAAGTTTTATGTTTATTTATTTAGGTGTGATGTTGTCTGCTCTATGATAAGCATATAAGTTGTGGTTTGTAGTTCTCAGTTGAATGAGTTGGCTACATGTAGGCCTAGTGGATAGCAGGGTAGGTAATTGTGCAAGGTCTGTAACTGTGTTTTTGTGTCTTAAAGTCAAATTTATAAAGTTTCTATTTGTTTGTTAAATAAAGTAACTTAAAAAATCTACAGCCCTAAACGGTATAAACGAATGTCAAGTGAGTGCTGGTGTTAGGCTACAGTATATGGCCAGATGATTTGTGTCACTCAAATAGAACACACAAACATTTGACAATTTGGTTAAAGTGATTGTTTCTACCTTCCCTGGTCTCCCCTATTAAATGAATTTCCCTGTATTCATGTCCAGCAAATTTCAAAAATCTTCAGATGCAGTCCTCAGGTCACTTGACAGGAAGTAATTATGATGATTGCCTTTCCTGTGCAGATTTCAGGAAGTTTGAACTGATTTTCTTGATAACCTCACTATAACCTACTGATGTCTTAAAGCTGCTTGGTAGTGGTTTGTGGTAGCCATTTACTGAAATTCTTATCATTTTTTTCACTACTGAATTTATTGTCATATCAGTTCTCATCCAGGAAAATGTAGTTGTACAACCAAAATGCTTTGCACCTTAAAAGATACTACCACCATAATGGGCTACTTGATGTTACGCGAATAAACCGGGACTATACACAAACCAAGACGGGACAGTGCATCGCGTCATACAAACAAAGATAAAACTCCACCAGGGTTACTCACGTGACGCTAACATAATGGGATTTACTAAACAACATGACATGCCCTAAATAAGGAAAACTCACTAACTTTTTATGCTTTAAAATAACCAAATAACCAGGGTCTTTTAATAGGACAGCTTTTTGATAAAGGTCCAAGAGAGGACTTTTAGTCCTGAAATACACTGAACTAAGTGTTGTTCGTTGTTTGTGCTGTGTTGGCATGCTCATTCTTCCAGCTTGGCATCGTTGCCATATACAGTCTGCAAGAGGCTCTCACAAAGACATTATTATGCCCTAGTGAAAAGGATTGTCAGCGACCTACAAATATTATCACCATCAAAAATGAAACCTCTGTTTGGCGTTTATCTGAAACAAGGGAGCCCTTTCCCCTTTCAAATATCATTTACTGGATGCATTCACCCATCATGTCAACAGCAGACAATTTTTAAATTCTTCTTTGTTGGATTGAGTCTCTCTTATTCCAGTTGCACTCCTCAAGAAGTCTGTGACCTCTTAGACCACATTAAACTTGTGATAGTATATTTTGTAAGGGGCCAATCCAGAGGAAAATCGGCAGATCCACAGGGTGTGAACTTTTCTGTTCTGCTCCGAGACTATGAATGGAAGAAGGCTTTGTGATGCCGAGACATCTTTTGGAGGTAGTCCCAGTTGTTTAAAGAGGGAACTGTTTCAAGATGAAAGTCTTCTAAAGCCTCCTTTCACCAATGACATAATGAAAGACCATATTAAAGAATGCGAGATCCCTGTCTGCCTTTATGCTTGCTTTCCAGAGGGATTCTCATTGTTAAAAGCAAGATGGCTATAGATCTTTTCTTTGAAGCCGGGTGCTGTTCATGGGTGGCAATGTTTTGAATGTGAATTTTACTTTCTACCCATGTGAACACATACATGTTCCTGTTCATTTGAAAACAATAGGATGTCCTGAATGCACATTGTGTCCCTCATTAAATATTTATCCTGTTCTATTTGGGTTTTTTTTGTACCATCTTGCATTTGTTAGCAACAGCAGGCTTGGTTTCTGATTACTTCTTACAAAATAAAATGGCTACAACTACAGTTAAAAAGGATAGATGGATTAACAAATCATTTATTCGCCCTTATGCCTATCCAAACCTGTGTTACCTACTTTCTTTTGTGTTACAAACAAAAATGGTGTTTAGACGTTCTTCAAAATATCGCCTTTTGCAGAAAATAAGGAAATCAAGGCAGGTTTTAAAAGGCCTTTGTGGACATATGGCAGAAGCCTCCTCAATTTGCACCTTGCTGAGGAAGCTTTCCACATTGGGATCAAAGCTCAGTTCATGGTGAAGGGAACTGTCACCCCTCTCTCTCTCTCTCAGGCTGTAAAATCCACACTGCTGCCTGTTTATACAGAGGAAATTACTTCCACTTTGCTGCTTGGTTAGAATTGTTTGCAATTCTAATCTACCCCCTTTACCCTCGCTCCAAGCCTACCAAACATCTCTAGAATTGCACACTGGGTTACCATGTCTTTTTAGGCTTGTTTTAACACCGCTTCTGCTTTATTTGTTGTATATAAAGTTAGTTCTTAAAAAAAAGGTTATAGGTTAGTTCTTAATTCTTTCATTACTTGCTCCTGGTCAATATATACTGTCGTTCTAAAAATGTATTTGACCAAACGTAATATTGTGAAAAATTATTACAATTTAAATAAACTTTTTTTTAATTAATATATTTTAAAATGTAATTAGTTTACGTTTATGTATATTCTGTATATAGATTTATATATAATTTATATTATATATAAATATTTTATATATAAGTAATATTGTTTTCTTAAATATATATGCATGTGTGTGTATTTACATATATATTACAAACTAATTATACACAGTGCACCCACATATATTATGTAAACACAAACTTTTATTTTGGATGCGATTAATCGCGATTAATCATTTGACAGCCCTATTGAAAACAATTGTGCTGCTTAATATTGTGAAAACTGATACATTTTTTTCAGGATTCTTTGATGAATAGATAGTTCAAAATAATTACTTGAAATATAAATATTTTATAAGCTTAGAAAAATGTCTTGTCACTTTCTGATTAATTTAAAGCACGCTTTCTAAATACATTTATTTATTTGTTTAAAATAAAAAAAAGTATATATATCACCCCAAACTTTTGAACTGTATAGTGTAGGCAAGTCTTGAAATTCACTCACTTAGTTATTTGTCGTCATAATTTAACTTATTTATATTGTTTATCAATATGCAGACAGAAATACAATCCTGTGTTTAAATTAGTCATCACTCATAATTTGGGGCGGTTATCAATTTCAGTTACTCATTCAAATAGGTACAGCAAAATAAGGTTTATAATTTGATATAGTAAACCATGCTCCAGTAATCCTTCTTTAAGAGTAAATGCTGTTTTCTATCTCTTTAAAGTGAAACACGTCATTTTTTTTAATGACTTCCCAGTGGGAAATTGTTCCAGTTGTTTGCACTCAGAATGTAGTGACCTTTATTTCCATGCAGTGATTTAATCATCTGCATTTGATCAACTTCATGTTCATTCTCTTGGAACAGGATGTTCATAATAAGTCATTTCCACCATAAGCAGTAAATTTACCTCCAGTTAAAGCCTTTTCTAATAAAAATTCAGCCTTTTTTTGTCCTGCTAGCCTCAAGGAGGGTTATATTTGAGGAATAGTCTCGGGTACAAGGCAATTAAAATCAAGAGGCAGGAGGTCCAGGTCTTTTGTTGTTGTTAACTGGTCGTATCCAATCAGGAACCATGTTGGCTTGTTTGACCGTATTCAAGACACTCCAGTATGACTTTTTGCTGAGGATGCTGTCTAGACGTTCGTGTTTACATATTAATTAGAAATTAATTATCTAGATCAAAGTCCGGTGGGAACTTCCTCTTGTTATTTCCTCATTCATTTAATGATTGCAATATTTACAACAAAAGTAAAATGGAGGCAGTTTTATGGAGTATTGCTCTGCTTTTTGTAGTTTTGTGTTCACAGCTTTGCCTCGAGCATCCCCGTAACTTAAGGGCTTCTCAAAACCTCCCGGAATGTAGCTTTCTTTGGTCAGTTGGATCAGTGCATTGCTTTCAGGCTTTTCCCTTTGCTAAAGAGAGAGAAATTAGTAAAGGTTTTTAATTAGATGCACAAATTGCAGAAAAAAAGCCTTTGTGATGTATCAAACCTGTGTGACTTGAATCGCCTGTTATGGTTGGTTGTCTCTATGTGGCTAGCTTTGGTTCACAGACTTAAAGTGCTTTGTACAATCGTAAAATATTTTCTTTGTAACCCAGAATGGACCAATTGAATGGCTGCATTCTGATACACAGTCCAAAACACTGGATTAAGAGGAACACCTGGTCATTTGACGTCTTGAAACATTCCAGTAAAATAGAGAAACAACGGATCAGGTTTCCTGCATCCCAGAGTTAGCTCCCAACACTTTAAGGTCATTGTCCTGAGACTATGTGGCTCCCTGTAACACAGTGACTTTATTCTAGTCTGTTTTAGAGGTTTGGATTGATTTCTTAGAATAGGAGGTTGAGTAGTGCGTTACTCATCCATCTATTGGTTCATGTTTACATGTTGAACATGTAACGTTGCCTGTTTTCCATCTTCAAGTTTAAAGTTTGTTTCCCATTTAAATTATTTTCATTTCATAGAAGATGTCCACAGTATGTAATCCAGGTTGTATAATTAAA